ATTTTGCACTAATATTCCGGTTGCTGATCATTTACACTCTTGGAGTTTACTTGCTTGATTAAAGTTTAAAATTGAAGTTTCTTAATGATATTCCGCTTTATTGTTCCAAGTTTAAGATATATCCCTTTCGTTGATATAAAAAGTAGGTACACGGTTTAATTGCATCTCATTTGCCTTATTAAGTATTTAATTTACGCATTGTTATTTGTTTTTTTAAGATCGTCAATTAATATTAACTTAAGAATTTAAAACTTAAATTTATGCTTGGAATGGCCTTACCCAAAGGACATTAAATGGTTATTAAGCTCCCTTCTTAATTTCAGTAAGTTTGAAGTAAACACTGAAACTAAAATTTAAATTTAATTATCAATGCTTTAATTTATTACTGTTATTACTATTTTACCTTAATTTTTTTTTTTTTTTGGATGTATGAGTTGCCGATGGAGTCAAGTAAATAGCATTTACAATACATTTATAGTTATTATAAAAAATGGAAATTAGCACTAACGTTAGTTAGATTTACATTAATACCAAAATATAGTTCACCAAATAAAAATAATATTTCAGAAATTGAAGTATCCATATTAAAAAGTTTTATGAGGGTCCAGACTACTTATCAGGATTTTAAAATAGAAACTGTGTATTACTATAATTTGAATCTGATTTTTTCCAAACGTAGCATTTATAATATTTTCTTAACCCACTTTCGAGTGTATCCATGGCTAGAAGATAGTACTTGTAATTTCGGTAACTTTCCGATTAGCTTAAGCACATTTAATTTTAAGACAGGATAATATATGTTTTATTCGTTTTCTAATCACCATAAGTAAAATTGATTGCTTATAGGAATAATTGTGATTCATTTTGAAATTGGAATTCATTTGAGAAATTTGATCTCTATAATTGATCAAAAATCGTCAAATACTGTCAAGTTTCGAATAATGGCAATGAAATTTTTTTTGGACCAGTACTAAGATACCCTAGTTCAGTTTGTTTTAGGCGATAGTTCGGGTTCTACATGGAAGATAACGTGATCGATTGTAGCGGCTCTTGGGTGCTAATTGATGGATTGCTTCAACCACAAAAGTTTTGGAACTTGAATGTAGTTTATCTATTGTTTCGACTTCATATTTATGTATAGTGCGAAACGAAATTACTCGTCTTAAATAACTTTCAATCTAATACGTGAATGGCTTACGTCTTGAGTCTCAAATTTTTTTTTTATTCGAGGGCATAATCTTGTACATGCTAATTAATTTATACAAACGATATTTTAAGTTACAGAACCAGAAAAAATCCCGATTTTTTTTTTCTCCGATGGATTTGAATTTTTGATCCTCAAAATATGGAAGGTAGTCAATATTTTAAAAGTTTTCTAGCCTGAAAATATTGCCAAAGTTGTTTAGGCAGGAGAGCGATTGAATGTTTGACTCTCTTAATGTTAGCAAAGCTTTTTGAGTATTTCGCTATATTTGAAGAACTTTTTTAAGTGAATCATGAAGTTTTTGCACACTATTATAAGTTTCGTTTATCCAAAGATAATTCTATGCAAAAAAAAAAATTTAAATAAATATTATTTTTTATTTTATTTACTAATTGTCGAAAACACTTTGCGTTGCAAAATATAGAAAATTTTTTTCAAAATTTTTAGGAAAGTAATTTTAAAGGCAAAATGAGAAATTTGAATGAAATCGGACTAATAGTTTCTAGGAAGTCCAATTCTAAAAAAAGTTATTTATGTAAAATTTGATTTCTGAAGAACATTTCGATTGATTTCATTCAAATTTTAAATTTTTGATTTGCTTTAAAAGTTATACAAGGCGAAATTTGCAAAAAGGAATTTTAACATTAAGTGATTCAAACTTTCTACCGCTCTCCTTCATAAACTGCTGATACCATATTTTGCAGATGGCAGGTGCTTCTTCTGTTTTAAGGGTCTAGGATCTGAATCCCTCATAAAGTAAGACATTCACACCAGTAAGATCGGATAGTAGTATGTACATTAAAATCCGATCAATAGATAAAATATTTTCAGGGTTTTCCCTTTTTTGCGCCCTGTTTATACATAAGTGCATCCATCGTTATTACATAGCGCATGAATACATGCGTACATATATTGAACATATATAAATTGTGTATATACGTACAAACGTACGGGCGTATAAACATACCCACATTTACATAGAAACATATATACATTATATATTCATATAAAGTATGTGTGTATCTATATATATGTGAATTATCGCACATAAGATTATGCATATTATATGTACTACTTAAAGTATATATACGTATGTACGATATGCAAAAAATAAATGGACTATTGGAAATAATGGATCATCTAATGATCGTATCTTCACATTCAAGGACTCAATCTTAAAGGTTCGAGAGGATGACATATATGCTAATTAATTAGTTCACACGATATTTTAAGTTACGAAATCAGACACAAAAACATACTTTCTCTGAACAAACATACTTTTTTTATGGTGTTTCTTGGGTTTTTGACTCTCAAATTATAGGGGTGGCCGCAATCTGGAAAAAAATAGTCCCAATAGTTATAGTCAGAAGAGCGGTTCAAAGTTTGCACCACTTAATGTTAATATTTTTTACGTATGAGACCACATCTTGAGAGCATCTTAAATGAATTGAAAATATTTTTGCACTCAATTAAAAAATTCGTTTGTCCAAAGCTGATTCCATGCAAAATATAAATTTTAGTCAAAATAATTATTTTTTATTATTTTATTCGATAATAGTCTAAAAAATTATGAATTTAAGTTAACCAATTTTAAATGGCAAAGCGCAAAATTTGAACGAAATCAATCGAATAGCTCTTAAAAATGCGAACTATTCGATCCATTTTACTCAAATGTTGTATTTTGCCATTTAAAATTTCCTTTTTTAAAATGTTATAAACAATTGTATACTTTAATAATCAAAAATTCTTCGGCTATTATAAAATAAAATTTAAAAAAATTAAATATTTACTAAAAGTTATATTTTGCAAAGAATTATCTTTGGATAAACGAAATTTATATTTGTATGCAAAATTATTTTAATTCATTTTAAAAGTTCTCAAGACATGGTGAAATACGCAAAAAATAAAATTAACATTAACGAGTCTAAGCTTTGGACTCAAACCTCACTATTGGGACGATTTATTTCGGATTGCGAATACCCGTTGGACGGCTCTTTTGACCAACCTACCTATTGTAGGGACCATATTTCCTAGAGTACGGCTACCCCCTGTACTTTGTGGGTCAGAAATGTGCATCCGTCGAGAAAAGGTATGTTTTTCAGAGAAAGTACGTTTTATTTTTGTCTAATTTCATAACTTAAAATATGGTTTGCATTAATTAATTAACATATTTAAGATCCTTTGAACCCTTAAGATTGAGTTCAAGAACGTAAATATCCGATCATTAGGATCATGTCGCAGATCAGTCGAGTGAATTTTAAGACTCGGTTCCCAGTAGAACACCGAAGTCAAGGATCACTGGCTACGGTCAGTGTGTGGATGGGTGATCACTTTGATCAACCTACAAAGGAACCAAAGGTGTGCGGTATCTATCCTAATTAAACTTTTCAACCATTAGGATCTCGATTTCACTCGCATGTCGTCAAGCAGGAGATCCATCCCCTCTGCAGAGGATCAAAATTGTGTTGACATGTCTTCATATCATCCTCAGGAATGTTTCCCAACTCTACACCAATAGCCCATTGTTCATCGTTAGTGCGACATAGACCAACAAAAACAACCGATCATTAGATCAAAAAATTTTCAGAGTGGTCTGCTTTTTGTTTTCAACAAATAATTTATTCATTCTACGTTCATATGACATACAATGTACTCACGTGTGCATGTACTATATGCATGTACTATTTAATAACAATGTTATTCATACAACGATATTTAAAGTGACCACATAAATATAATTATATACTGCGTGTGTATGCATGTATTTTTACTTATACGTGTGTATGCATGCATTTTTATTTATACGTGTGTATGCACCTGTATACATATAATGTACGCATGCATTCCTGTACGTACAATATACGTTTGTGTTTATGTACGTACATACAATTCATGTGTATATGCATTAAATTTCATTCAATATACGCAAGTACGCACACAAAAATTTCCTCTTATTTTTCAGAGAAAGGAGCATATCTGACGAGGAAGTAATTTATTTTAATAAAGATTGTTTCGCGAATTTCTTCATGTTAAATATGTTGCGTATTCACTGGTGGTTATTATACCTATAATATCATTTGTTTATGTATTGACGAAATAGTTGATTTAATTATGGTATATCTGTTTTGTATTATTCACTAATGGTTATTATACAGATAATATTTTTATATATTAACAAAATACCTAATATAATTATGACATATCTGATTTGTACTAATGCACTTGTCATATACTAATTGTTATGATAATCATAATATTTATTTGTTGATGTGTGTCAAAAAAATATGTTTGGAATTTATGCATTCATTAAACGATTTTTAAAAAAAATAATATTTTGTTATCATTAAGTTTCCTACATTTATCATATTATACGTATTAAGTAGGAGATAAATAATCAGTTGCATTTTATTTATTTTGACAAAAGAAGATATTGTCGAGTCTCAGTAGCTCAGGGGTAGAATTCGCTTCTATAAAGCCGAAGGTCCTCGGTTCGATCCGGGAAGCGGACACTAATTTTTCTATTTCGCTTATGAGCATTCCAGAAGCTTCTGGAATGTTCAGTCTATGTCATTTCCTTTTTCGTTGTTCCTAGGAAGCTTCTAGAACATTCTGTGATAGTATAAAAGCGATCCCGTGATTGTAAAGAGGGGTTCTTCTGGGCGCAGACTGGTTCCCGGTGTTTGTAAATTCCTGATGTTAATAAATTATCAAAACCTCATCTTGTAATCTTCACTAAATCTAAACACTTTAACGAGACAAATTTGGTGGAGGTGCCGGGTAAGAGTTAATCTCTCAATCAACATCACGGAGCCAAACACTGATCGGCTTAGAAGAAGCCGTCGAGTCCAAGGACTTCTACTTGAATTTGGACTATACGAAAAACCTAAAGAAGCCGTTCCTGAAATGACTGTGCCAAAGACAGCCATGGCCAATGTGCCAGAGACAGACATGACCACTGGGGACCAACAGGATATGAAACCTGCCTTTTGGATGACGCCAACAGTTGCTGCTGAAGCCAGGAAACCAACAATCTTCCGGGGTACTCCAGGACAAGATCCGACAAAATGGCTGAAGGAATACCAGAGAGTGTCATCGTACAATCATTGGGATGACACTATGCAATTAGCTAATGCCTACTTCTTCCTGGACGGCACCGCAAGACAATGGTACGAAAACAATGAGGACTCACTGACGTCTTGGACTTTATTCGAAAATGGCTTGAAAGTGACCTTTGGAGACACCCAATCCTACCTCAGACGAGCCAAAGACCACCTCAAGTCTCGCGCACAAAAATCCGGCGAAAGCATCCAGTCTTACATTCAAGACGTTCTCGGACTTTGCATTCAGGTTGACCCGACCATGTCCGAAGGAGATAAGGTTTCTCACCTCACGAAGGGCGTCGCAGAAGATGTGTTACAAGCCCTTCTTACGAGAGAAATCCTAACAACAGCCGATTTTACAAAGTGGTGCCTGTACATAGAAGAAATGAGACAAAAGAGAGTGGGACGGTACAAGTTTGCCCGATTACCTAATGTTGTCCCTATGGCCGCAGTGGACGAAGCACCTGACTTGGCTGTGCTAATTCGTCAGATTGTCAGAGAAGAAATTCAACATGTAAACGCGCAGCCATTCGAAGTCCATCCCCGTGAACTGCAAACTACTGAGGCTTCTATTCGAAACGAGATGGACAGATCCATAGCAGCCCTTACAACCAATCGACCTCCCTTTATCACGACAGGACGCCCGATTGCAAGACCTCCTAGACGTTTGACTACATACGCCGCAAAGCGACAAAATAATGTTCCTTGGAGTGAACCCCAACGAAAGACCGACCTGTGGCGTACCACGGATAACCGTCCGGTGTGCTTTCATTGCGGACGACCGGGGCATGTCGTTCGCTATTGTCGGGAACGCCGAACCATATTTAACGACTACCGATCCAACAACCCGAGAGGATATCCGTCAGCTGACTATGAAGACGATACTACCTACGATGCACCTCCCAGACGAAGATCCCCTAGTCCTGCCCGAGGACGGTCACCGATACGTCGTATGAGATCTCCATCGCCGATGCTGCACCGCCGTTCCAGCCAGTCGCCAACCCGAGAGGAAAACTAAGCCTTGCACCCTCAGTGGGAGGTGAGGCTACAATTTTTCGAAATCCTCCATTGGCCGCTAAATTGCAGGGAAACCACATAGACATTCTCATCGACGACGAACCCGTAAAAGCACTTGTGGACTCTGGAGCATCCTTTTCCGTTATTTCCGAATCATACAGACAAAAACGACGAAAAGTCATGTTCCGAGCCTCAAAGGGCACTATCCTTAAGGTCGCCGACGGCAATTTTGTGAGACCACTGGGTATTGCAACTGACCATAGATGATCGAACACAGCCCTACCAATTTACCGTGATGCCGAAGCGCAGCCAAAGCGTTATTCTCGGTTTTGACTTTTTGAAAGCATCACAAGCCGTAATTGATTGTGGTTACAAGATCAACCAACGAAGCCTTGTACCTTTAACCTTCATGCTGTGTCTGACTTAGTCATCCCTGGCCGTTCCTTCAAACGCATTACAGTAAAAGCCCCAGAAAAACAAGAAGACATTGATTTAATAGTCGAAGGAAATAAAATTCTGTGCATTTATCAAGGAACTGCTATCCCCTACACTATAGCCTCCTTTATCAATGGCGAAAATTCAATATGGGTGGCTAATGGACATGCACAAGCACGTCACATCCCGAAAGGCATGTGTATTGGTTACGCTGAGCCTGCCAACTCCGACTACTTGAACACGCTGACGGAAGTACCTTCATACGCTGATGTTGAAGACTCAAAGCGCACTGACCTAGTCGACTACTCTCAAATGATGGCCGAAACCCTGAGCACGGAGCAGCGAATGCAATTGCAAAACCTGCTGAGAAGCTTTCAAGACGCATTCTACTACGGACTATCGCGCCAAGAATACAAAATAAAAGTGAAACACAAAATAGACACCGGAAGCCACCCAGCAATCAGCCAAAGACCATATCGAGTATCTCCTACAGAGCGACGCATAATCAATGACGAAGTTGACAAAAAGCTGAAATGGGACATCATTCGACCATCAGAGAGTCCGTGGTCGTCTCCGGTTGTGCTAGTTTGTAAGAAAGATGGAAGCTGGCGATTTTGCGTTGATTATCGTCGTCTCAACAAGGTCACCAAAAAAGACGTTTATCCTTTGCCCAGAATAGACGATACTCTAGATTGTCTTAAAGGGGCCCAATACTTTACATCGATGGATCTGCACTCTGGTTATTGGCAAATAGAAGTGGACGAGGCTGATCGGGAAAAAACAGCGTTCGTCACTAGTGAAGAGCTATATGAATTCCAGGTAATGCCGTTCGGATTATGTAATGCTCCTGCAACGTTCGAGAGAACTATGGATAACTTATTACGTCACCTAAAATGGAAAATGCGCCTTTGTTATTTAGACGATATAGTTGTATTTTCGCACACATTTCCTGAACACCTTCGGCGGTTACGCTGCGTGCTATCCTGCATTCAAGAAGCCGGACTTACTTTAAATCCCAAAAAGTGCCAATTTGGCGCTAACGAAATCAAAATCCTTGGGCATCTTGTATCCGGACGAGGAGTAAAACCTGATCCAGATAAAGTCGCAGCTGTACAAAATTTCCCTACACCGACGACTGTGCATGATGTCAGAAGTTTTCTGGGTCTGTGTTCTTACTACAGACGATTCATCCCAAAATTTTGTTTCCGTGCTAAACCCCTTCAAGAACTTTTAAAGGGAGACTCAAGATTCTGCTGGGATCAGGCCCACATAGATGCATTTAATGACCTCAAATCGGCGCTGACTTCACAACCTGTATTGGCATTATTCGATGAAAACGCACCCACCGAACTGCATACCGACGCCAGTGGATATGGTATAGGAGCCGTGCTGGTCCAGCAACAAGACGAAGAAGAAAGAGTCATCGCATATGCTTCGAGGACCCTATCTAAAGCCGAGAGAAATTATTCGACCACTGAACGTGAATGTCTGGCAGCTATATGGGCAATAGGGAAATTCCGCCCATACCTCTTTGGGAAGTTCTTCAAAATTATTACTGATCACCACTCTCTATGTTGGTTAGCCAATTTACGAGATCCATCTGGTCGACTAGCAAGATGGGCTTTGAGGCTTCAAGAATACGACGTCTCTATTATTTATAAAAGTGGAAGGAAGCATGCTGATGCAGATTGCCTATCACGAAATCCTGTTCCTAACGAAAACATTTCAGGAGTTGAGTCCCTTGCTGCGGTGACTGACTTGGCTTCGGAGCAACGTGACGACCCGCAGCTTGCCAAGCACATCAGAGTCTGCAAAAATTCAGCCGACTTGTCAAGCGCAGGGTTCTCCATGGTGAATGACATCCTTTGCAAGAAGAATTTTGACCCATCTGGAAAACAGTGGCTACCAGTCATTCCTAAGAAAATGCGGTTAGAAATTCTCCGCCATTTTCATGATGAACCTACTGCTGGACACCTGGGACTGACAAGAACATATGATCGTCTCCGAAAGAGATTCTTCTGGCCGGGGATTTTCCGAAGCGTGCGCCACTACGTAACACATTGCAAAGAGTGCCAGCGTCGAAAAGCTGTCCCACTGAAGCCACCCGGCTACCTGATCCCCATACCTCCAGCCGAAGTCCCATTTCAGCGTATTGGTATGGACTTGCTTGGACGTTTTCCAAAATCACAGGATGGAAATAAATGGGTAATCGTATGCACCGACTATCTTACACGATACGCTGTGACAAAAGCTATTCCCAATGCAGAAGCTCCAGAAGTAGCAAAATTCTTTGTTGAAGAGATTCTTCTAAAACACGGAGCTCCGAGAACCATCATCACGGATCGTGGTCAAGTTTTTCAGTCGAGACTCATTGCCGAGATCAACCATCAGTGCAGCGTAGTTCATCGGATGACGACCGCATACCACCCTCAGACGAATGGACTCACAGAGCGCTTCAACAAAACTTTGGCAGACATGCTATCCATGTACATAGACGTTGAACACAAGACCTGGGATCTGATTTTGCCGTTCGTCACGTTTGCTTATAACACAGCTAAGCAAGATACCACTAAGCATACGCCATTCTTCTTGACGTTTGGACGAGAGGCTGAAACAACATTAGATACCATGTTCCAGTACCCCATCGAGGATTCGGAAACAGACTTCATTGCGAGGTTGAAGATCCGTGCAGAGGAATCTCGCCAGTTGGCTCGGATCCGCACTTTGGAAGCGCAAGAGAAAGACCGACGTCGCTATGATTCCAAGCATCGCGCAGTGTTCTATCAGCCTGGTGACTTGGTGTGGATTTTTATTCCTGTGCGCAAGGTAGGTCGCTCCGAAAAACTTCTCAAAAAGTATTTCGGCCCGTATCAAGTTTTGCGTCGCATTTCGGAGGTCACATATGAAGTTCAAGATTTTGACCCTACATCCAGGAGACGTAAACCAAAGGACATCGTTCATGTACTCAGGATGAAACCCTACTATGCACCAGAGGCACAAGAGGACTTGTTTCCAGGCACACCGAGTACAGACCAAAACATGCGGGTCGCCAGAGTTCAGAATCAAAATGCAAGAACTGATGTCTCCAAGGCGACAACGTCCCGCAGTGGACTGATCGTTAAGACACGGTTCCCAGCAGATCACCGAAGTCAAGCATCACTGGCTATGGTCAGTGTGCGGGTGGGTGACCACTTGGATCAGTCTGCGTAGGGACCGAGGGTGTGCGGTATTGGTCCTCGTTAAACTGTTCTACAGTAAAGTGCTCGACTTCGTGCGCAGGTCGTCTGGCTACCGAAGCGGGGGTGCCATCCCCTCCGCAGAGGATCAAAATTGTGATGGGCCAATAGCCCATTGTGCAGCTCTAGTGCGACGTAAATTAACAACAGCAACAACAGCCAAGGCGACCACGGCCTATTCCGGACCAATAACAAGATCACACAGGAACCTATAACAGCGAGACGCTGTTCTTTTAAGACGGGAGTAATGTCGAGTCCCAGTAGCTCAGGGGTAGAATTCGCTTCTATAAAGCCGAAGGTCCTCGATTCGATCCGGGAAGCGGACGCTAATTTTTCTATTTCGTTTATGAGCATTCCAGAAGCTTCTGGAATGTTCAGTCTATGTCATTTCCTCTTTCGTTGTTCCTAGGAAGCTTCTAGAACATTCTGTGATAGTATAAAAGCGATCCCGTGATTGTAAAGAGGAGTTCCTCTGGGTGCAGACTGGTTCCCGGTGTTTGTAAATTCCTGATGTTAATAAATTATCAAAACCTCATCTTGTAATCTTCACTAAATCTAAACACTTTAACGTGACAATATTTCATGTTAATTTTCTTTGGTATACAAAAAAATGAACATTTTTGCACTCATCAAAACTTCTCACACCGCATAAATTTCCGAATAAGAAAGAAGAAAATTTACTATTTATTTTGTGTTCAAATGTTCTATTTATTTTGTGTTTTCAAAATCAAATCGTTGAATAAAAAAAAATTCATATTAAACGATATTTTAACTTATAAATCTCTAAGTTCTTACAGCAAAGTAAGTCAGACTGATAAAAAATGACTATTTCCCCCAAAATAATCAAGCAAAAATGATGGAAAGGAGAGTTTTCCTCGGACTGAGAAGCTATAAGAAGTATAATGTAAAACAAATAATGAAACCCGCCGTCATACTATCGTGGGAGAGATGACATCACGTTCAGAATGACGTTTTAGCTGGCGTACACTAGCAATAGTATTAAATTTCATTGTCAAAGAAAATCTCATGACAAGGTAGATTTTAGCTGAGCATACGAAACGCTGCAAACGGAAACCTTATAATTATGTAAGTTTAGGATGATTTTCATCTTAGAACTAACGTTATTCAAGGTTTTTTTTCTCTTGAAAACGCGATGACAACCTCGTTTTAAGGTTGTTACGTAGAAGGTTGTTTTCCAAGGTTTTGGATTTGGGTAATGTGCGTAGAATAGAGCAGATTGTCGCAGACGTCGTTTTAAGATTAGAAAGTTTACACGTAAGCCGTGTAAAAACCCTTTTTAGGTTTACATGAAAAGGTTTTTGTTGGGAGAAAAAAACCTCATATTGTTATCTGGGATACTAGGTTCAAGTACCAAAGTTAGTGACCTGGCGAACCTGTAAACTTCTATGTAT